CCTCCTCGGCTTTGTCCCCGTTGTCTTGGCATCGCGCGGGCGTGTGCACGTTTGTCCTCGACGAGGACTGTCGAGGTGCATCCTGGACCACCTGGCAACAAACAACACACCCACGAAATACGTATGTTTCTTCTCGGCAAAGACCATGGAGAGACATCCTGGACCATCTGGCAAGACAAGCACGCGTCATCGAACACATGCACGAGGAAAGGACGTCGAGAGGTGGCAAGATGCCCCCTCCCCAGGTATGCTAGCGTCGTGAGCAGCATCAGGACGGGCGTCTTTGTTTGCTTTTCTTGAGCCTCTCGGGGCCCTCGGCTCAAGAAATCTGAACATGGGATGTCTGGGATTGCCCTCTTTCTCCTGAGGGCCTGGCAGCCGCGTCTAGCAAGCCCTATTCATGGGCTACTGCTTCCATCCTGGCAGTTGATCGGCTTGGCCCCCTAGCGCCCGAACCTGAGCCTGAACCTCCTGCGTTGCATCCGTTCCCCCTTGTGGGCCTCTTCCTCGCCGTCCTCCTCGCTGTCCTCCTCGCCCTAGTTTTCTAGGTCTCCTAGATGGGGTTTGAGTAGATGGGGTCGGAGGATCGCGCCGCATCACCGATGCATCGCCGATGCGGCTCGATGTGTAGCCCCATTTGCTTCACGTCGACGTCGCCGATGCATCGTCGACGTCGACGATGCATCGCGCGGGGCATCGCCAATGCATCGCCGATGCATCGCCGATGCATCGGCGATCTGGCGCGACCCTCCGACCCGATCTACTCAGACCCCGTCTAAGAGGCCTGTATTCCCCGCCGTCCTCCCTGTCCTCCTCGCCCTCGTCTTCGCCCTCCCCGTCATCCTTCTCCGCTGCCTCCTCTCGCTCCTCCCCTCCCGAGGCTCCCGAATGGCCCCCCCTCGCTCTCGTGCGGAGAGGAGCCTCTTCTTCTTGCGTCCTGGTCACGCTGCCTCGCAACGCTGACGGTTGCGGTTCCGCTTCTCGCTCCTCCCTTCTCGTTCCTTCTGCTTCCCTCCCCCCTCCTCCCGACTCTCAGAAGAGGAAAAGGTACCCATACGGCTACCCTTCGCCCGTTTTCCCCCGTTTGGGCCTCCTCGGAGGCCCTCGTCGCCACCGCTGCATTCTCTTGAAAATTCTGGTCAGAACGCACCCTGGGAGAGGTCTGGGGAGTAGCCGTATCGATATCTTGTGGATTCCCCAGACTCCGCCAGGCCGGTCATGATTCTGCGTGTGCAGTGTCTCACCAGTCTACACTTGTGGGCACGCCGGCCCCGCCCTGCAGCACCCGCGCGGTGCATGACGAAGGCCCTGTCTCTGTCCCCGTCCCCTTCTTCCCCCTCCCCTCTGGATTCCCTTCGGGGATCATCCGTTAAAATTATCCTGGCAAAGCAACCTAACAGTGATGTGTAGGAGCATATCTGGAAGCATTCCCCTTAAGATTCAGATGAGAATCCAGCTGTAGAATTCTGCTGTTCTCGCAGTCGTAGTCGCATTCGCGATGACAGTCGCAGCCTCAGCCTCAGCCTGCCTCAGCCTCAGCCTCAGCCTGCCTCAGCCTCAGCCTGCTTCAGCCTCAGCATCAGTCTGCCTTCAGCCTCAGCCTCAGCCTGCCTAAGCCTCAGCCTGCATCAGCCTCAGCCTCAGCCTCAGCCTGCCTCAGCATCAGCCTGCCTCAGCCTCAGCCTCAGCCTCGGCCTCGGCCTCAGCCTCAGCCTGCTTCTGCCTCAGCCTCAGTCTGCCGTCGGCCTCGGCCTCAGCCTCAGCCTGCCTCAGCCTCAGCCTGCATCAGCCTCAGCATTCAGCCTGCCTCAGCCTCAGCTTGCCTCAGCCTCAGCCTCAGCCTCAGCCTGCCTCAGCCTCAGCCTCAGCCTGCTTCAGCCTCAGCCTCAGTCTGCCCGCAGCCTGAGCCTCATCCTCAGCCTGCCTTAGCCTGAGCCTGCCTCAGCCTCAGCCTCAGCCTCAGCCTGCCTCAGCCTCAGTCTGCCTTAAGCCTCAGCCTCAGCCTGCCTCAGCCTCAGCCTCAGCCTGCTTCAGCCTCAGCCTCAGTCAGCCTTCAGCCTCAGCCTCAGCCTCAGCCTGCCTCAGCATCAGCCTGCCTCAGCCTCAGCCTCAGCCTCAGCCTCAGCCTGCCTCAGCAGCCTCAGCCTCAGCCTCAGCCTCAGCCTGCCTCAGCCTCAGCCTGCCTCAGCCTCAGCCTCAGCCTGCTTCAGCCTCAGCCTCAGTCTGCCTTCAGCCTCGGCCTCAGCCTGCCTCAGCCTCAGCCTGCATCAGCCTCAGCCTCAGCCTCAGCCTGCCTCATCATCAGCCTGCCTCAGCCTCAGCCTCAGCCTCAGCCTCAGCCTGCCTCAGCCTCAGCCTCAGCCTGCCTTCAGCCTCAGCCTCAGTCTGCCTTCAGCCTCGGCCTCAGCCTCAGGCTGCCTCAGCCTCAGCCTGCATCAGCCTCAGCCTCAGCCTCAGCCTGCCTCAGCATCAGCCTGCCTCAGCCTCAGCCTCAGCCTGCCTCAGCCTCAGCTCAGCCTCAGCCTGCTTCAGCCTCAGCCTCAGTCTGCCTTCAGCCTCGGCCTCAGCCTCAGCCTGCCTCAGCCTCAGCCTGCATCAGCCTCAGCCTCAGCCTCAGCCTGCCTCAGCATCAGCCTGCCTCAGCCTCAGCCTCAGCCTGCCTCAGCCTCAGCCTCAGCCTCAGCCTGCTTCAGCCTCGGCCTCTCAGCCTTCAGCCTCGGCCTCAGCCTCAGCCTGCCTCAGCCTCAGCCTGCATCAGCCTCAGCCTCAGCCTCAGCTGCCTCAGCATCAGCCTGCCTCAGCCTCAGCCTCAGCCTGCCTCAGCCTCAGCCTCAGCCTGCTTCAGCCTCAGCCTCAGTCTGCCTTCAGCCTCGGCCTCAGCCTCAGCCTGCCTCAGCCTCAGCCTGCATGAGCCTCAGCCTCAGCCTCAGCCTGCCTCAGCATCAGCCTGCCTCAGCCTCAGCCTCAGCCTGCCTCAGCCTCAGCCTCATCCTGCTTCAACCTCAGCCTCAGTCTGCCTCCAGCATCGGCCTCAGGCTCAGCCTGCCTCAGCCTCAGCCTGCCTCAGCCTCAGCAGCAGCCTGCCTCAGCATTCAAAATGTGGCCCAGGAATGGAGTTCTGGGAACTCGAAGAACACGAAGTGGCCTACAGTTGGCCCCGGGCATTCAAAATCATGCCAGGAATGGGATTCTGGGAACTCGAAGACCACGAAGTGGCCTACAGTTTGCTCCGGGCATTCAAAATCATGCCCAGGAGTGGAGTTCTGGGATCTCGAAAACCTAGAAGTGGCCTACAGTTAGCTCCGGGCATTCAACATCATGCCCAGGAATGGATTTCTGGGAGCTCGAAGAACACGAAGTGGCCTACAGTTTGCTCCGGGCAATCAAAATCATGCCCAGGAATGGAGTTCTGGGAACTCGAAGACCACGAAGTGCGTTACTGTTGGCTAAAAAGGAGTCCCCGGATTCCCGCGGGAGTTCCCGGATTCCCGCGGCACCCGTCCGTCATCTGCCCAGACCCCCCTGGGGAGTCATGATGCTCTCTTTTGAGGCCACTAGAAGCCTATCAGTCTTCGCTGTTAGGGAATTCGAACGATACAGAGAAGATTAGCATTGCCCCTGCGCAAGGATGACACGCACAAATCGAGAAGTGTATACAATTCCTCCCCCTCCCGTCTCCTCCCTCCCGCCCCACGTAGTGAGGGTCTCCCCGCCTGCGCCGTGGCCAGAGTCGTTGATTCCAGCGGCCGAGCGGTCGTCTTCTGGGCCACCCCAGAGGGGGTTAACGGTCAGGGCCAGCGTCTCAGAGATCTGTTACGTTCTTTGTGCCAGCACGTCATCCCCAGAAGTCCCGGCATCTCCCCCCGGCGCCCGCTCTTCGTCCAGAGTTGTCTTTTGAGGGCCCCGGGTCCCGGGGTCCGTCGTGGGCCCCTGGGGGGCCGAAAGCGGCGACATGTTTCCGCAGTGCTCGTGGTCGACACGGTTTCGAGAGTCAAGGTTGCGCTCTATGCCAGGCCTTCCCCCAGAGCGAAAGAAACCATCCTGGAATCCTCCCGACACCGTTCTAAGATTCAAAGAAGAACACACAAACATAAACATAATCATTTGGCGTTCCGCGCGCCAGGGAGGGGGTCCAGTGCAGATCCAAGAAACCCGCGCGGAGCGGCAAATTTTTATTTCAATGGAATTTTTTCTTATCCAACCATGCGAAGAGCCCACAGGAACCTTACCTCACCAGGATTCTCGGAGGGTTTCGGGAGGACTTTCTAACGACCCAGACCCCCGACGTCCTGATGTCTCATGACACGTCAACCCACAGAGGTCTCGACCCATTCCCCGGGACCGCTTTTCGTCCGGAATGATTTTTTCACGGTCCCGAGGCCCGGTAAGAGCCCCCAGAGGCCGAAAATTGTGAAAGTCGTGCTGTTTTCCTGATTCGAGGGGGTCTGGTGCCACGGTCATGGCCCGGGCCACGCGACGAGCTCGGCTTCGGACCGTCGCCGTGCCGACCGACGGCCCGCCGCGGGTCCCCCTCAGGAACTATAGTCTTGAGGGCATGGCTACAAACAATGCGCCGCCAAAAGGAACCATTCTGGGGCGAGGGTGCCGTGGGTCATGTTTCGCGGGATATCTCCGGCCAAACCGACGAAACCGTCGTCTACACGTATTTCGGAAAAGGGGGTGCCGTTTTTCCTTTTTCCGACCCCCTCCCGGGAATGGTTGAGGTTTTGCTTCGCTTGGGAAACATCCCAAACCGTTGTGCTTTGGGCGCGTTTCCGGGCCCGCAGGCCCAGAGGCTGACACCAACACCAAGATCGGCGGTGTGCCTCCACAAAGGGAAGACGACCCCGACCTCGATGATGGTGGCAATATTCTGGCTTCCAAGGTGGCCGAAAGATTACCGCCAGCACCGAAATCTAGGATCATCTTCCCCATGTGGAGGCACTCCCCCTGGGCTGGTGTTGGTGCCAAGTTCCAGGCCCCCGGCATTTTTAGCAGCCGTGCCACTGGGAATATCGCTCGCCACCCCCGCACGGACGGGAGGGGCCAGCGCGGTGAGCGGGGCGGGCCCGCGCGGGAGGCTCGAACATCTTCGACGTGACCGTGGGCCTGCCGCTGCCCTGGCTGTGCTACAGCATCGCCAAGTGGAGCCCGCCGCGCGCGATGTGCTCGTCCGGGTCGTTTTCGTTGTCTTTGTCGTCGTTTGCGTTTGTGTCCTTCGCCGTCATCTCTCGACGAAGAAGAATCATACGAGTAAGAGTCAGAAGAAGGAGAATGAGCATACTCATAATAGCAATCATACTATTACTTTAATAATACAGATACTGAGAAGAATAATAATAATGATAAGAAGAAACAGAAGAAGAATAATAAGAAGAAGAAGCGCCGTGAGCATAACTTTTGGCGCTGCGCGCGGATCTCTTGGATCCGCGCTGGGCCCCCTCCGTGGCCCCTCCGGCGCCGCCCCTGGCGCGCTCCGCACTCCAGGGAAGGGGGTCCAGCGCAGATCCAAGAAATCCGCGCGCAGCGCCAACCAACTCTGTTTATGACGTTTTTTCTTCTTCTCATCGCCCTAGCCTTTGCAATCGCCGTCGTTGTCCCCGTCGTCGTTTTTTTTGTTGTCCTGGTTGTCGCCGCCGTCGTCATCGTCGTCATCGTCGATGGTCGATGTCGTCCCCATCCTTCGGATGCGACTCTTGGGAGGTAACATTCAGCATTTGCTCTGGTATATCCTTGCTCGACACTGGCCCCATCGGTATGATCCCGTGTGCAGTCAACACTGATAGCAAGGATGAGCGTCTTTCAAAGGTTTCCATTGCATCCTTTCCCTTCGGCCCATCCTTGACCACTTTCGTTGGCGGCGGCCCGCTCGAACCGTGTCGGCATGGGCGTTCCGGAGGCTTGCATCCTTGTCGCGGATGCTTGGGCGCTCCGAATTAGAGTGGTGGGGAGTCTGGGCGCTCCGAATTCGACTAGGCGGCAGTTGGCAGTCTACGATGACTGTAATTTTGCCTCGTCCCGCGTAATCCGAGCTGACGGGGCCTAAATTCTGGGATTGATCTGGGCCAATCGGGCCAATGACCCCGCACTCGGGTTTTGAAAGGCCTGGCTCGTGCTTGCGAGGACTTCCCAGTATCTGGCTCCTAATCGGCCGCAGAACAAACAACACCACCCCACTTACGGCCCTCCATGTTGCGCTACGGCCCATCGGGGGCCGTAGCATATTCCATGCAAAAAACCACGCCAGATGTCTTGGTATACGCTACGGCCCGTGGGGCCGTAGGTGGGGTGGTATCGTTTGTTTTCTGGTCCATTCAAGTTCTCACGAAGGCCTCTTCGTTCCTACCTGATCTAACCTCCCTCGCGCTTACGAAGACCGTAGACGGGCTAACGGCGGTGTATGTAAGGACGATGTAGGTCTTGGTATTGTGGGAACGCGTGGCTCGTGCTTTCCTGCAATTCGCTGTTTCGTATTCGCTCGACCCATTCGCAGATTGAACATGTAGGACGTGTGGTTCGTGATTTCCTACAAGTTGGTTCCCAACATCACCGTTCAGCAACATCGCCGTTCTCCTGGTCTTGGCCATCCTCATCCTGGGCTTCTGTCTCGAGTGGAGGCACGCAGTCGGGCCGGGAGCCAGCCCGGGCGCCTATCGGCTTCGCTCGGACGTGTGCATGTTTGCTCGGCGAGGACCATGGTTACGTTGCTTCTTCGGCGGACATCGCCTGTCCCCCAAATTGGTGTATTTTTCTTCTGCCCGACGCGGGCTCGATCTGAACTCGACGCGGATTTGGCGTAGATTCGGCGCGGATTCGACACGGATTCGGCACGGGTCCGACGAGGCCGACATGAATTCAACACGGATTCGACGCGGATAGGGCCGCGACGGGACAGACAGGGTCCCCCGAGGATGCGACATAACCATCAAGGAGCAGTTTGCCTCGTCGCGCGTCAGAATAAACGCACGAAGTCGACAAATGCACGGGGAATGGGGAATGGGCGTCCGAGCGATGGCGAGTTCCTTGAACGGTATTCCAAGCCGCCCAGCTGAAATCCGAGCAGATGGAAATCGGATGATCGCGCCGTATCGCTGATGCAGCGGCGATGCGGCTCGATTCGGAGCCCGATTTCTTCCACGGCCGATGCGGCGCAATCCTCCGACAGCATCTGCTCTGGCCCCATATGGGAGGCCTCCGGAGAAGGCACCCAGGGCCTAGGCGGCGGCCCCATTTGGGACGCCTCTGGAGGTGGCGCCCAGGGCCTGGTGCCAGGGGCGCCACGCGCGCCAGGCACCACGGGCCCGAGCGTGCCAGGCACGCCTGGTGCGCCAGATGCGCCACATGCTCCGAGTGCGCCAGGTGTGCCGCACACTCCTGTCGCGCCAGGTGCGCCACGTTCGGGGCACGTGCAGAGTGCGTTAGGTGCGCCTGCGCACGTGACAGCACACAACGGGAAACACGTCGGCCCCGCCATCCTTGCCGAAAACCAATGCCTATCATTGTGCCTGGTGGGCCTGCGCACAGCAGGCCACACGCCACTACCCCCGCTGGCCCTGTCAAAAACCACTTGACAGTGATCGCGGGATGGCCGCGCATGATCCAGATTTAGCCGCGAGGTGCATGTTGCATTTTTTGTCAGGGATGGTAGCCCTGCGCGCAGCAGGGAATATGCTGACACCCACGCCATCCCTGACAATTATTCACTGCGTGGAGCTCCCCATATGTGCATCTACTCGCATGGACCTGTCCTCCGTGAATGTCTAGGCGCAAGAGCTTTCGAATATTAACGGGCTTCAGTTGTGACGGTCTGGACATCAATCTAGCTGCGAATGAATTGGAGTGTGAATGAGCCTCAGTAGTACGAGCGCGTCTCTGTGCATGAGCCTGGGGCCTCCTGGGGCCTCCTGAAACCTACTGGGGCTTCCTGGGGTCTCCAGGAGCCTCTTGGGACCTCCTGGGACCTCCTAGGAAGGTTTCGTGCCCCAGGAGAGGCGCAATCTATAGCAACAGACGTACATAAAACATTGCGGATTAGAGCCACAGGAGAAGGGCAATCTATAGGAACACGCGTAAAACACCAAGGACTCGTGCCCCAGGAGAGGCCCAATACATAGGAACATGAGTAAAACATTTAGGATTGTGTACACAGGAGAAGGACCATCTATAGAAACATACGTAGAACATCAAAGAATCGTGCTCCAGGTGAGGCCCAATCGATAGGAGCATACGTAAAACACATGGGATTGGAGCCACTCCTGTTGCCTTCTGAGGCCTCCTGCTCCTGGGGCCTCTCGGGGCCTCCTGTTGCCTTCCGAGGCCTCCTGGCGCTTCCTGTTGCCTCCTGGGGCCTCCTGTGGTTTCCTGAGGCCTTCTGGAGCTTCCTGGGGCCTCCTGGAGCCTCTTGGGACATCCTGTGGCCTCTTGAGTCTTTCTGTGGCCTCCTGATGCCTCCTGGGACCTCATGTGGTCTCCTGGGGCCTCCTGGAGCCTGTTGGAGCCTCCTGTGGCATCCTGAGAAGAATCTGCGCCCACGAGCCTGGCCACCAAAACAAGCAAACCGATCGAGACATCCTCAAAATCTGGCCCACCTGGGGGGTGAAAATGAGCGCCTCGCTCGAGACATCCTCCAAATCTGCTCCGAAAGCGAAGGATGTTGAGCCCAGAAACAAGCAAACCGCCTGAGACATCCCCACAAAATGGCCGCGAACGAGCCCGTGCAACCACCCCTGGCGGCTCCCCTTAGGGCCACGAGCCTGGCCACCAAAACAAGCAAACCGATCGAGGCATCCTCAAAATCTGGCCCACCTGGGGGGTGAAAATGAGCGCCTCGCTCGAGACATCCTCCAAATCTGCTCCGAAAGCGAAGGATGTTGAGCCCAGAAACAAGCAAACCGCCTGAGACATCCCCACAAAATGGCCGCGAACGAGCCCGTGCAATCACCCCTGGCGGCTCCCCTTAGGGGTGCTGAAACCAGCGCCCCGCCTGAGACATCCTCACAATCTGCTCTCCAAGCGAAGGATGTTGAGCCCGGAAACAGGCAAACCGCCTGAGACATCCCCACAAAATGGCCGCGAACGAACCCGTGCAATCACCCCTGGCGGCTCCCCTTAGGGGTGCTGAAACGAGCGCCCCGCCTGAGACATCCTCCAAATCTGATGTGTGTTGAGTAAGTCTGAGTATGAGTAGGTCTGAGTATGAGTATGCCTGAGTATGAGTAAGTCTGTGTATGAGTAAGTCTGTGTATGAGTAAGCTGTGTATGAGTACGTCTGGGTGTGAGTAAGTCTGTGTATGAGTAAGTCTGTGTATGAGTATGTCTGAGTGTGAGTAAGTCTGAGTATGAGTAGGTCTGAGTATGAGTAAATCTGAGTATGAGTAAGTCTGTGTATGAGTAAGTCAGAGTATGAGCAAGTGTGAGTATGAGTAAGTCCGACAGGAGGGGAGGAGAAAAGAGGAGGAGGGAGGAGGAGGAGTAGGAGGCGTCCAAGTAATAACAAGAACCCCATCTTAGGATATGGGGAAACAACACAAAGTGCTCGCGGGCCTCACGAACATGACTCTAGACTTTGCCCCAAAGTGTACTTTGTAGAGTTTTTTGGCAGGGATGGTGGGGGTGACCGCATCGGGTTGGTTGCGCATGCTCCAAATGTGGAGGCAAAGCGCGGTTGTATTGTTTTTTTGACAGGGATGGTGGGAGGCGGGCCCGCATGAAGTCGGGATGCTTCCGGGTTGGCCGCCGGCCGGGTGGGGGAGGGGGTGTACATTAGTAAGGACCAGTGGTAAACCCCTCCCCGAAGAGAAGTAGGCAGGGGTTGGACGAGAAGCCGCCCCAGACCACCTACGCCCAGAGGGCCTGTGGGATTGGGCCAGGGGTTAGAGGCGGCGTCGCTCGGAGACCAGGGCCTCGCCCACCGGGTCTCAGCTGGGTCGGGGCGCCTGCCTGTTGCGGCCAGGCCGTGTCTTGTGCCGCTCCTCGTCTCCCTCGCTTGCCCGTCTCGGTGTCCCTCTCACCCACACAGTGGAAGCCCATGCCAAGAAGCACCCTGCTTGCCTCTAGCCTGGGTTCGTTGGGTTTCGATGGTTTTGCTATGGGAAGCGCGACGTTCCCACACCAAAAAGCAATGGACGTCCTGGGGTCTCAGGGTTGGGCTTCTTGTGGAAAGTTTCTTGTGGTCGAGCTCCTACTGTAGCTCTGCCTTCTCGTGCCTCCTCGTCCCCATCCTTCATTCGCTTAGACGCTCGTGTGGCTGGACCTTCCTGGGGCCCACCTAACGGATCCTTTCGACTCTGGTTGGATTCGAGCTCGACCCAAGGTCGACGCAGGTTTGACTCGCTTTGGTGGACGTTCGACGCAGCATCGACACATGAGTGGAGCGAGTGGCTCCGAGGTCCCCAGAGCGAGCATCTAACTTACCATGATCGCCCTCCTGCTCACTACCAGGGCTCGATCTAAACGGTGTTTTGGCGATTTCGTGGGCCGTCTTCGTTTGACTTCGTTGCGCAGCGACGGCAGCACGACAGAACGAGGGGGAAAACGACGACAGAGCGACAACGAAAACCACTGATTTGGTCCAGCCCTGCTCATGACACCCTTTTCCCCCGTTGACCCTCTTCAGCTTGACGGGCGCGCCCTCTTCGCCTCGCCAGGAGACCCGCAGAGGTGAGCAACGAGGGCCTGTTCTTCTCCCTGATGCTTCTGATCGGCGGGGGGGGTGGAGAGGGGGGGGATGAGGAGGTGGCGGAGGAGGAGGAGGAGGAGAAGGAGGAGGCGGCGGAGGGGGAAGAGGAGGACGGAGATGAGGAGGGGGAGGAGGCGAGGAGGCCGCCTCGAGCGGCGCCCCGCCGGGGAGCGCACGCGAGCAGGAGGAAAAGAAGGGCCAAGGCGAGGAGGAGCGGGGGGGAGGCCGGCCGGAGGGAGGATGTCGGGCGACGATGCCCACACACACACACACCCTGCCCTTGGACGTACCGATTGCCACGGCGCCCTCGGGTGATGGCGACGGGAGGACAGGAAGGTGGAGGCGGGGAGGCGGGAGGGGAGGCGGGGAGGCCGTGGAGGCGGAAGAGGGGACAGGAAGGTGGATGAGGTGGGAGGGGCCAGGCGCGAGGAGCCGAGGGCGAGGAAGTAGGACCCGCAGCACGGACGAGGGGGACGGAAGGAGATTGAGGACAGGAAGGAGGAGAGGATGGAGGAGGAGAAGGAGGAGGAGAAGGAGGATGATGATGATGATGAGGAGGAGGAGGAGGAGGAGCACACGGAGTCGAGGGCATCAGGGTCTTGCGCGTGCCCCTGCCGCTCAACACGAGAGCGCCTGCAGCCACCACGACGCGCCAACGCTGGTCATGCGCCGGCGGCGCCCCGGCCGGCACTGCCGATGCCGCTGGCCACGATCGAGTGTACGTCGAAGGAGAAAAAGTGGGCAAGCGTGGACCCCAAACAGTGATGTCTTGCAATCTCTGCGGTGCAATCCATGTGGTGAAATCTAGGTGGTGCAGTCCATGTGGTGCAATCTATGTATAGCAATGCATAGCAATGCGGAGCAATGCGGAGCAATGCAGAGCAATGCAGAGCAATGCAGAGAAATGCAAAGCAATGCAAAGCGCTACAAAGCAACACGCAAAGCAAAGCAAAGCAAAGCAGTGCGATTTCAATGCGATGCGATTGCAATACAGTGCCCAGACAACGGGCGGCGGCAGGCGTCGACGAGGCGGCGGGCGGCGAGGGGGCGGCGACAGGGCGGCGACAGGGCGGCGACGGCGGCTGCATAGCCACCAGACCGCCACCGCCGCCGAGTTCCTTAGAAAAGAAGCAAGGCACCCCGAGTGCATGTGCAAACAAGCCATAGCAATGCACAACAATGCAAAGCAGTGCTAACCAACGCAAAGACAAGCAATGCGCATCCCAAAGAAATGGAGAGCAACACAAATCAATGCAAAGCGCTGAAGAGCAATGCACAACAGTGCAAAACGATGCGACGCAGTGCAAATCGATGCCACGCAATGCAAAGCAATGCAGCGCACTGCAGACCAATACCAAGTTTGTCATAGCAGTTCAATCCAGTATGATGCAGTGCAATGCATTGCGATTGGGGATCAGTGCGATGGCAATGCAAATATGCATTGCACTTCAAAGTAATGCAAACCGCAACGCAATGCAACGCTATAAAAAAAAAAAACAGTACAGCACAATGCAACGCAATGCGACGAAAGCAATGCACACCAATGTGATGCAATGCGCAGTAGCCTGCATCAATGCAAAACAAAGCAAACCAATGCAACGGACTAACGTGCAATGCACAACAATGCAACGCGATGCAAAACAATGCAGCGCAGTGCATAACAATGCAAAGCACGGCCTAGCAATGCAAAGCAATGCAAACCAATGCCAAGCAGTGCAGCGCAATGCGATTGCAACGCAGTGCGATTGCATTGCAACCACGCAAAGCAATGCAACATCTCGCAAACCAGTGCAATGCAAAGCGGGCGGCGACGAGGCGGCGGGCGGGGACGAGGCGTCGTCTCTGGCCACGTGGCGGCCAGAGCGGCCCGCAGGCCCTGGCGACGGGCAACGACTGGCGGCGACGAGGCGGCGACTGCGGCCACATGGCGCCCAGTTCCTGAGAATAAATCAGAGCCCCTGATGCAAGTACTGTTATGGGAAACGTGCATAACTCTATGACTCTCCCGCCGCTGAGGCAGCACGTAGAACGCATCGCAGGCGTTATTCGAAGTAGGACGGTGAACGAACCGATGTGCTCGGCGTGTGCGTTACCCCCAATATGGGAACAATCATCGGCGTAAACATATATTTTCGAGGAGCCCAGGGGGGGACCCCAATAATCTATGCCTACGCAGCTGTTGATTCCGGATCCGCTGGGAACACGCAGTTCGCGAGGAGGTGGGCGAGAAAGCAGAGGAGGAGGAGGAACAGCAGCATCGTGAGCGAGCGCCGGCACAGGAGCACGGTCGGGAACGAAGGCATGACCAGGAGGAGGGATCAGGGGTAACGATAGGGGGGGATAGGCATAGGTTGAGTAGGGCCGAGAGTCAGAGAGCGCCTTCTTCTGCAGGACCACCAAAGAAGGGACGTCAAGGTGGTCGGACGCCTCGCCAGTTAAGCTGACAAAGATGTGCAACATTTAAACTATTCGTTTATGTCCAAAGTTGTGGCTTGACGCCGGGTGTGAGGCATCAATTTCAGCTTGACCTACCAGGCTTGCTTCTGCAGACCTTACTCCCCCAGCCCTACTCAAGGCATGAGCGGCCCCCAATCGTCCATTCCTCGCCGACAGGGCAGAGGCCCAGCTGCCCACCCCCGCCCAGGAACATGCGGACTCAGTATCGGGGGCTTATCGCCGATCTATCGGCGATGCATCGCCCGTTCCAGGTCGATGTTCCCCCCCCCATGTGCCAGTCCCCTCCCCCCTATCGTTGCCCCTCAAGCGAGAGGAGGATGAGGAGGAGGGGGGGGGAGGAGGAGGAGGAGGAGAAGGAGGAGGAGGAGGAGGAGGAGGAGGAGGAGGAGGAGGAAGAGAAGGAGGAGGAGGAGGAGGAGGAGGAGGAGGAGGAGGAGGAGTGAGCAAGATCGTGGAGGATTATATCATGTGTTACGCAGGTGGTGGGAAAGTTTCTGGGTGTCAGGCTTCTGCGTCAGAGCAGTCGGAGATGCGTCTTGGGTTTCGCGCCGTTTGGGGTCCGTTCTTGGGTGAACAGGCGCAATTGTGCCATACGACAATGATGCGGGTCAGAACGATGCGTTCGAAGACGAGGATGACCGTGACAACGGTGATGTTGCCGAGCGGCGTTGGCAGACGACACAGTTTAGTGATGATGAGATTGCCATGCCGACCAGCAGCGGAAGTCATTTTGTCGAACACGTGGATCCTTCGCAGACCCAAACCTATCTTAAGGTTGCGGGCGATCATATTCTCTTTTGCTCCAGCCATTTGTTAAATTTAGCAGATGCGTCCATTCGCGCAGTCAATGACCCGCCGTGTACGGATGCCGTTGGGAGCCAGAGAGGAGGAGGAGGAGAGCGAGCGTTTGGGCTCGGAGGCTGGAGGGTGGCGGGGTTGCAGGCATGCTGGCCGCGGTGATCACGGTCATCAAGTGCATGAGGTGGAAGATGACGAAGACAGCGCGCTCCTCTTTGAGCCTTCTCTCTGGCAGACCAGGATCCAGGCCTCCCAAATGGGGTCAGATGGGCTTCGGAGGATCGCGCCGCATCGCCGATGCATTGCCAATGCGTTTTGACGTTGAGCCCGACGTTATCCACGCCGACGTCGCCGATGCATTGCCGACGTCGCCGATGCATCGGCGATGCGGCGCGATCCTGCGACCCGATCTGCCTGGATCCATGTGGGAGGCCTCTAGAGGAGGCCGAGCCAGACGGAGCGGGCGCGCGCGCAGAGTGTACCATCGGCGGAGGTGTGCAATCGACATGATTGATCTGCAGCGTCACTGAGGCACGAGCATCGCCGACTGTCGAGGTATGTTGTGAGCGAGAGGGAAGGAGGGGTGACCCACGCTCGGGCAGCTCCCGACGTTTCGCGCGCGTCCCGCTCATGTCGGGAGATGTTCCCCGCCTCTTCGATTTCCCTCCCTCTTCTCTTCTTTATCCTGTCCATTGGCATCGCTCGGACTTGTGCATTTCGAGGAGCGTGCTTGATCATTTGGCGATAAAGCCACGCGCGAAACCGAACAACGCACAGGAAATGGACGTCCGAGCGATGGCGAGATCCTCGTTTCCCTAAAGCAGCAGCGTTGCTGGTGTTGCAGGGGCGGCCGCGCGAGTAGCCCCGCGAATTTCCAGGGGCACAATCTGGAGGCCCAGATGGCCACGTTTACCAAGCAAACTGGCCACGCTCACGACCCCGCACCATGCACCCAGCATGCCGCCCCCCAAGAAACCCCTAAACTGAACGCCGCTGGCCGGCCTCGCAGCACTGCAGTCAAGGCAAAAACCCACATCGATGACCGGGAGGGAGTCCGAGACGTGCAGGTAACTGCAGAGGCGGGACGCACACGGCTGCCACCAAGCCGACGCCCCCGCAAGGGGCCAAGGCTCGTGAATGGTCCTCCAGCCCTCCCTCCCTCCCTCCGCCCCCTCCCCTCCCCCTCGTCACTCATCCTCCCTCTTCCTCGGGTCGCCGCGTGGTGCCCAGGGCACTCCAGGACGCTCCCTCCGTCGCATGCCCCTTCCCCATGCTTCTCTCCCTCCCTCCTTCCCCTTCCCCGCCTCGCCGCCTCGTCCCCCTCCCTGCCTTCTCTCGTGCTCGCTCTCCTGTCCCCGCCTCTCCTCCTCTCCCCCCTTCCCTCCCATTCTGCAGTCGGGCGTGTCCCTCTGCAAGAGGAATCCTCAAGAATAGTATAATAACAAAACGTCTGGTGACGATTCTCCTTCTCTTTGGACTGTGCTTGCCTATGTGTGATCAGGTTCTGACATTCTTTGTGTTCAAACGATTGTTTTAACATGTTCTGCTTACAAATCCGCGTGCAGGAGGATATGCCCGACCTGATCCTAATTATGCACCCTCTTCGGCCCGCTCAAGATCACCAGAGTACCGGGTATCAGTCGTACGTGCAGCTGTCTTTCGGGGGGGGAGACGGCACCCTATTCCTCCCTCTCGCTGCTTGTTTCGTCCTGGGTTTGACAAGCCACGTGTCCTCGGCGTGGAACTTGAATGGCGAGCGGCGGTATCCAGCCACACGTAATTGTCAGCCTTCCCCTTCCCTCGCTCCTCCTCCGCGCTCTGTCCCCGGAAGCGCCATCCCCACGCAGGAGCCTAGGTTATTGCATGCTCCTGCTCTACGTTGTCTACCTGGCAGTGGCCATTTTCTCTCAGACCGATTCGAGCGGCATCTTCAAATGAGGCAGCCGTTCGCCTCCCGCTTCGGGCAGGAGGGCCAGGAGGGAGCTGAACGCGCTAGCGTTGGACCTCTGCGGACGGCTGCCAGGCAGGCGAGCTTGCTCGAGGTGGGGTTTCGGGGACCTGGGCATTCGCACCCCGTTCCGCACCTGGATGTGCACATCGGCTCTCTCGGGAACCCTTTCCGCTTTCAGGTAAGTTGTATGGGGCTTGCTGCGGCGCGCTCTATCCGAGCTCAGGTGGACCTGCGGGTCCTGGGGAACGCACGCCATGGGAGCTCGTGCGAACCTGGGAATCGGCCCAGCCCCCCCCAGTGCACAGCTCTCCTGCAGGGTACTCCTCTTGCAGATCCAGGCCCTGGTTTGGAATAACGAAACTGCTGCTCTGGGACACGCGCTTGTTCCAGGTAGTTTTCGGCACAACAGAACCGATGTTGCAGGACGTTGTTTGGAACACGTTTTTTTTTTTTTTTTTTTTTTTTGTCCACTGAACTGTGTGTGGACGACGGTGTTCCAGAACATGTTTGGAACATGTGTACTGTCGCGCCGAATACTCTCTGGTACACGCCCGCGTGCTACAGAGCACTCCTCTGTCTGTTCCAAGCCAGCGCTTGGATTTTCGACAGCAGTACCTTCACTGATCGTCTACAGCCTTGTCAGAAACACGTCCTGAAGTGTGTCTTCACCCAGATGCCCACCGCCAACCCATCATGGGGCGGTGGGCCACCTCCTCATGGGTTTCTGCAGGCGGATGACGAAGAGGGGAAGGAGAAGCAGGAAGGCGAGATGGGGTAGAAGGAGTATGTTGGACGAGGGCAAGAGAGCGACGATGAAGGAGATGATTTGATGGAAGCGAAAAAACCACAGAGAGCGTTGCGATAGCGATTGAGGGTTGCCTCACAGGTGCTGCGCGAGACAGGGCAATGAAGTCGCCAGGGCCATCAGGTGGCATTTCTATATCTAGGGGATGGTTATTTTGGGTTGCAGGCGCAGGCTGGTGGTGAATGACGCTTGCGTTGCAGCTTGAGGCTGGCGGGTGGGGATCTACCGCTAGCCCTTTTGAGCGGGTGGGCGAGGATATTGAAGGCGCGCTCTTGTGCAGGTGTCCGAGAATCTTTCGATTGCAGACTCTGTGTGTGCGTGGTGGTGGTTCTGCATGACACGTCAGTGGCAGTTTCAGGCGGTTGTTTCAGGACATGCCCTTTCGTGTGTGTGTCTACACACACGCACTAGAACCACGCGCGCGCTACGGAGGCGCTCAGGGTCCAGTCGCAGCTAGGACACGGCTCTCGTTTTGCTCGTGTCCTGGGCGACACTGCGAATCTCTTCGCATGTGGGTTTTGCGGAGCCTGTGTCTGCCTCTGCCTTCTCCTGCTCTTGTCCCTCTCGGTCCTCGCCGCTGTTGTGTTCATCCTCGTCCTCCTCCCTTTTTCTTCTCTGCTCCCTCCGTGGTTCTCCCTTTCCCCTCGCCCTGCTCCTTGTTCGCTTCTGAGTGGTCCTCCTCCTCCTCCTCCTCCTCCTCCTCCTCCTCCTCTGTTCCCCCTGTGCCCCCCTACTCCCCCGCCCCCGCTCTCCTCATCACTCGCCTCCTTCTACCCTGCTCCCTCTGTGCCCCGGATCCGGCATCTTGGATGTCTCGTGGGTGTCTCTCGACAGCCTCTGGGAGGCGTCGTGAAGGCCTTCTGTGGGGCCTAGTGGGGTTTAGTTGGGCCCTCGTGAAAGCCTCCTACCTTCTCCGCCCTCCTATTCTCTGCTCATCCTCGTCCCGCCTCCTGCTCCTCCTGCTCCTCCTTCTCCTCCTCATCATCCTCCAACTCTCCTTCACTCTTCCTCCGCCACGAGCTTTTCCTTTCTTCTCCTCCTCCTGCCTCCTCTTTGTGTCTACCCCTCCTCCTCGTCTTGTCCGTCTTCCGACTGCTCCTGTTCCTTCTCGTCCCCCTCCCCCATCTGCTCCTCCTCTTCCTCCTCCTCCGCTCTCGATCATAAGCCGTCGCACGTTTCGAGGGTGGGAAGGGACGAGGTTCAAACGTCGTGGTTCGAGGTCTTTCGGATTTTGAGTCTTTGGGAGGGCCCCAGGAGGCCTAAAACTTCAGAACCTGCCGACCCCTTTCCCGCAGGCCCCTTTTCCTCCTTGGCGAGAGTTGCAGGACCTCCGCGGCCCACGACGACGAAGAGGACGACGACGAGGCGACGAAAAAGAAGAGGAGGATGAGGAGGACGGGTGGAGCAGGAGGACTTTGAGGGTACGTCCCAAGGGGGGACGTAAGTTTGCCTGATACCGCTGCCCTCTTGGCTCAAGGACGCGCCGCCCTATCTGCCAGCGTAGGCACTGCTGCCTGCACTCTATTTGAGGTTGTTGTCGGAGAACCCTTCGCCTTTCTCTCCCCCCATCTCCATCCGTATCCAAGCTTCAGGACAACATGCCAACACGATTGCAGTTCGACGTGGGCAAACACGGGGGGAATGTACAAGATAGATGATACCTTACGAGGCATGACGTTCCTCTGGTCTTCCATCGACTCTTTGTCGAGGCTTTATTTGCGTGCAACGCGTTCACCTTTAAGGCGGTCTCTCTCTTTCTCTCTTTGTTTTCCTCTCTCTCTATATAGTTGTTTCTCCTCTCTCTCTCTCCATACAATGCGTATATGGGCCGACAACCAGGTGTGTTGTTGCCCGGCCTGGAAGACCCGAGTATGAGACTCCCGAAACGACTGGCCAGAAGAGAGCGATTATTCGGGAAAGCGCTTGGAGGCGATCGCTCAAGTCAATACAGTGACTATTGTAAGCAGAGCCCCCCGCCCGACGACCAAGGCGGATGGGGGCAAAGTATCCTCAGGGGGGGCACGATTGATTTTCACAAACTTACCACAACTAAGGATGACCATGGAGGCTGGGATGGCCCTTTTTGCGGGGTAAGCGGAGTCAGAGAAGAGCGTTGGCAAACTGTCGCCAATCCTGGTAACAGAGATACTGCGGGCCAGCTTCCTGATGCGAGATTGACCCGGTCCGTCGATGTGTTCATGGTGCGGGAATCTGTTATGGACAACATGGCCATGCGCACCATCATCTAGTGCATATTTACGCTCCCACCTGGGAATGTTTCTATCGCTGGCGGCTGCGTTCCTGACCGCAAGAAGGTGTACCGCTTTTGGATGAGAAAGTAAATTGGCTCCCGACGTACATGTGGCAATGCAGCGTATCATCAGGACCCACCTCAGGATTGTAATTGCCATTGCTGTCAGGTTGGCAGACAAAAAGAAACACTCACACATTGCCGCCCTTGCTTGGTGTTGATCGCAGCACGTATGTTCATTGTGACAATGATCTCCAACGGGACCGCTGACATTTGTCTCAACATCCCAGACGTCGCAGGCAGCAACCGTGCTCGATTGATACAGCTCGTAATCGCGTCTAGACCTACGCAATCTTTCCGCGAGGACCTTTCGAGTTTCTCTAACTTGGCCGACAGCCTTCAGGAGAGTGACGAACGTAGAAGCACGGTTCTCGCTGAGACGCCGATGGAATTCGAGAGGGGCGCAGGTCGGCTCTCCACTATCGAAGAAGGGGATCGCGATCAGTGGGAGGACGCGATACTGATGCGCGACTGATGCCACGAACTGGCCGTTTCTGACCATCCGTACATTGAATCTTATTGTTTGGTGGAACAGCTCCCGTCTCCATGTTGTCTTCGCACCTCTCATGCCGACCAGCGCCCTGCTGGTATCAGATGAACATGAGAGCTGCTTATTGCAGGCAGAAGTTATATCTTTCCGTGAACGCATCTAACGCCGCGTCCTGTTTTCCCAGCAACGCCTGTGGCCATCAACGTGTTTTTTTTTTCCCCGGCGACGCCGCGGACATCAATTGCGACCTCGACGCCGGCAGTCACGATAAATCTGTCGAGCTGTGTTTCACCAGTGACATGGCCGAGGTAGTCCTGGACGAGCCACGATCGGCGGCTATGCGTGATGGTGAACTTGTATCCATCCGAGTCTACGTCTTGGCGGAGATCGAACGGGCCGTTGTCGTCGAAGTTGGTTCCATCTTTTTTGCGAAATAAGATGTGTTGAGCCATCCTAAGCAAGTGTCGAGCCGAACCTAGGAGAACAGGTGCTTCGCGAAAGAATAACTATTCAAGGCCCAGCTCGCGATGGCGTCGCGTTGTGCTTCAAGCACTTGAACTCATCATGACCGGCGGCGACCAGGCCGATAATATCAGCAGACTGCGACTTGTGCGGAGGGGCCCCATGGTCCAGGAAGCCTTCTCTGTGGACGCATTGTCAGGAACGGCCAAACGCACCTTGCAAAGGCTCTTGGCTAGTTCGGCTTCTTGCCACGGTGATTGGACCTCGTAAAGTTTGGACGTAAAAACTGGTCCCTTAAGGGTGTGGCCAACATGGCGCTTGCCGGAGCAACCGGGGTGCAGGGGCGCACTGCGTGTTTTACATTGCCGCCTGGGAGCGCCGCGGTTCTGCGCGTCTTACCCGGGTTTGGAGACTGCGACTCGGCCCGGCGCTGCCTCGAGCGTCTGACGCCAGGGGGTGGAAGCAAATATGCACCGCGAGCGTTCTCCCTGAAACTCAGACGAACGACCGAGAGCATCGGCCTCGCGTCGATGTCGCATGCCTTAGAATTGAAGCTGCACCAGACCTAGATGCCGCCGCGCACGTGGGCGACATCAACATGTGTGGCAAAGAGGCACATATTGACTCCCGCGTGCGCGGTAGAACATATTTGGCAGTGGCGACGTGGTCATGGACCAATACGAATATGTCACGCAGTAACGCCCCATCGCGCGCTCCGACCTCGTCGGGGCGTTGCCGAACGCACTGGCGATCAAGACTGTCAGCGATCTGTTCGTCTGTCTGCAGGGTGCCCTCGCCTCCTTTGTCCTGGCCCACTTCTGGGTCGTTGTATATATTGCGTTACCCCAACGCATTTAACGACCGACCGATCTCCAGGTGAGACGACCCAGTGCTTTCCCATGCAAATTCCCACAATATG